AACTGAGCTTTCATTTTGTCAAGGTTCATATATGTTATTTTAATAGTAAAGTATTTGTTTTCCAGAAAACTGGAAGAAAATATCTATTATACTGTATTAGATGGAGCAACATCAGACCCAGTACTGGTTGTTAGTGGGGTACCTCAAGGGAATGTTTTGGGTCCCGTCCTCTTCCTGGTGTTCAATAATGATCTACCTGCATGTGTCAGATCCAATATGAGACTATTTGAGGATGACCGTATAGTCTACCAGAAAATAAATGCCACCAAGGACTGTCAGATCCTTCAAGAAGGCCTAAACCAACTGTCCTTTTGGGAAAGGACTTGGGGTATGATGTTCCACCCAGAAAAATGCAGCATCCTAAGAGTTTACAGGAAGAAATCACCAATCTTGTATGTATATACTCTCAAGGGGCACAAGTTACCAAGTGAGCAGGCGAAAAATATCTCAGTGTTGAATTGTCCAGAGACCTCTCATGGAAAAGGTACATAGACAAGATAGTGAAAAAAGGAACTCTAACCTTGGTTTCCTGTGCTGCAACCTCCAAATCAATAATGAAGAAGTAAAAAGCACAGCATATTTCACTATGGTTCAACCAGGTCATGATTATTGCTCTACAGTGTGGAACGCACATAATTAAGATCAAATAAATAAGATAGAGATGGTTAAGAGGAGAGCTGCTAGATTCACCACAAATAAATATCGCAACACTAGCAGTGTCAGTGCAGTGTGGAACCATTTCCAGTGGGAATCACTTGAATCTAGGCAAATCAAGACCCAGCTGACCATGTTGTACAAGATTGCGAACAACTTTGTTGAAATACCAGCAGACAAATACTTTGCCCTGGCATATAGCCAAACTAGGGTAAACCACAGAAAAACGTTCCAATTAAAGTCAGCATCGACAAGTTGTTACAAGTTTATCTTCTTCCCATGCACAGTACGGACTTGGAACAAATTACCAGCAATAATTGAAGAAGCTCCTGACTTGGTATCTCACAAACAGGAGCTTTCCAAAATCACACTCTAATGAACTAGTCAGCTACAAGTAAGACCTAGTGATTCTCATGGCTATGCCGGTTAATGTTTTATATCTCATCACCGCTACGGTAGCCGGATTGGTCTGATTACGAAGGAACGAAAAACGTACACTGACACTCTTTTACTTATTTCTGCCTTTCCTGTCATTACTCTTCTGACTGTCCTATCACTTATGTCGTTACTTTATCTTTGACCACGCACGACCCGTTGTTTAATAGTCAAGTGTGACTGTGTCAACGTATTTATAGACACAGAAATAGATTTTCTTGAAACTATTTAAGAAAATTAGATAGATCAGTGCCTGATTCTCCGAATATAACGAACCAATGATGACATTCTGAATGATTAGTAATCACTGATTACAATATAACGAACCAATGATGACATTCTGAATGATTAGTAATCACTGATTTACAATATAACGAACCAATGATGACATTCTGAATGATTAGTAATCACTGATTACAATATAACGAACCAATGATGACATTCTGAATGATTAGTAATCACTGATTTACAATATAACGAACCAATGATGACATTCTGAATGATTAGTAATCACTAATTTACAAAGTTCGTAAAGTTCAAATTTTTATGCAAATAACCTGTGGCGAAATCAGTAAAAGGCTGTGATAAATATTACTGTATATAGTCCTCTTTCTCTGGTTGTTTGGCATCCAGTAAATAAAGCAGGTTCGCACCTTAAAATATACCGGATATTGACATTTGTGAATAATACAAAATTAGATATTTTGGCGAACGGAGAACATCTCCATAAATATATAAATATAGTACACATAAATATACATTTTCATTTGTTATACTAAGCTTAGGGCGAAATGACTGACTTCAATGATTTGGTGCAGAACGCTAAAGTTTGGGAGAGATATTTATTCGGACGCGGGCTAAGAGAACGGACTGTGACTAAAGCGAGGTTTAAACTGCGGTTTGTTTGCGGTTGATAGTATACAGTGCACGAATCAATTTAGCAATAGATGAAGAAAGTCATACTGGTTACTGTAAGAAAAGAAAAGAAATGAAAGATGTTTTAAATATGATATGCTGTTTTAAAAACTGTGAAAGTCAATGTGTAAATGACTGGGCCTTCTTTATGGAGTGGTAGGTATTAAATGGATGAGTAAATAAGCATGTGACAATTATGTGGCATCGTCATAAGCATCATTCAACCTTGTCAACACTTAAACTTGAGATTGGTCTTTTGGACTTTTAGACAACACACCACATAATCGAGACTGATGGTGCTTTACTTTGTTGAAATTTTTTCGAGTGATGTAAATAATACTAGCATTACGATGCTGTTCTTTTCGTATAACTCAAAGTTTAACTGCTTCTTCGTCTTTTCCAAACAAAATGGAATTATGTCTTTGACTAAAGTCAGACATGGTGCCATTGTCTTCGTTAGGAATTACTTCTACAAGCCAAATAGATTCTCCATGATTTTTTTAAAGTAACTAGTAAGCTGACCGAAATTCTTTTAACACCACAAGATAAGTTATGAAATCAGCTCCTATAAAAGTTATTTGTGTTCAATCATACTTTTCCACTGCTTTCAGCAATCTGTATGCTGAAAGAATAGCGACGCTACTGTGCCTTTCAAGTTTGAGGGTCTAACTTTTCGTCAAGCAGTTTGAGAACGGAGGGAAAAAGTTTAACTTGTATGGAATTCAGAGATTCCATCAACGATACAAAATGCGTTATTCAGTTTATAAACGTTTAATTTCTAATTTCTTTCTTTTCATGGTATAACACAACAAAAACGCTCACATATTCATTCATTCATTCATTCATTCATTCATTCATTCATTCATTCATTCATTCATTCATTCATTCATTCATTCATTCATTCTTTCTTTCTTTCTTTCATATGGATACAGAAGTTGTATTCATCACTATTTTCAACACTTTCAACACTATGAATTTTTCTTTTCTTTTATAAAGTTTAGACTGTCATGTCTTTGCATGTACTGTTCATAAAATGTTGCCGGAAAAGGAAATTCAATAAAGACAGTCACTAACACATGCTCCACGTGTCGTCCAAATTCAAAGAAATCCTTTCTTCTTCAGAAACAAATCTTTTATATGTACTTGGTAATGCATTCAGTTTTAAAAATGATTATTAACTTGGTTCTGGCGTAACAATTATGACAGAAGTTAAAATTTTATAACGTTGTCGAAAAAGAGTCTTTTCATATGTTGGCACAAAACCTATATAAATCAGTGCTATGGCCTTCTTCAGTTAGACATTTCATGACATCGAGGTATAGGTAATTTTTATTTCAAGATTTGGTTTAGTTTGCTCTGGTGCTTTGCGGTACAGCAACACAAATAGGTTTTTTAGTGCAGAGTAGAGGCAGTTTGAGTAGAGTGCCTTGTCAAAGGACACACCATATTTGCTGACCAGACTGGTCAGATGGTAGGAATCGAACCTTTCGGATGTGAGAACAGTGCATTAGATGCAATTGTTCTTTCCATTTCACTGGAATCTATACATTGTTTGGCCCTGCAAATTTGATCCACCGATAAAACTTTGCATTTTCCACTTCCTCTTGGAGGTGAGAAATGTGTATTCCAAAGGAGTAGCTTTTCCATCAGTCATGACAAACTCGTCGCTGAAGTGTTGGACATATTGAATATTTTTTTAAAAAGATTTTGGAAGAATTTAATTGTGAAGGTATACTAAGCTCAATATATACAGGAGACATTCAATTGTCGTGAGGAACGCATATTCTCAGATTGTCATGATCGTGAGTTTTGCATTGTTATTTTTGTTCCGTAATGAAGCTTTCGTGCTGAAACCCGAGACATGAACTTTTTTTAATCAGAATGTGTAAGTGTTAGCCGTTGTTCTAAATGTTCTTGAAGTCAATTTTGGGGTAGGTCGAATGTAAAAATATTCGGGAGGAAGGGGTTCTAGTGGATCAATGTGTGACCACTTGAACACTTTTAAAGTAACCAGCCTTATTATAGCAGGCAGATGCCAATGGTGAAACGTATATATCATAGGGGATGTTATTGATTTCTGTGTTTCGCTCGAATCTTGATAATTGTCTTTAAATTTCTTTTTGTGCTCTCTGAGTCTTGTAGTGGAGGTAAATGATATTAGCTGATCTCCAGTCTCTAGGCCTAATAATGGAGGTAGGTGATGTTGGCTGATCTCCAGGCTCTAGGCCTAATAATGGAGGTAGATGATGTTGGCTGATCTCCAGGCTCTAGGCCTGATAATGGAGGTAGATGATGTTGGCTGATCTCCAGGCTCTAGGCCTGATAATGGAGGTAGGTGATGTTGGCTGATCTCCAGGCTCTAGGCCTGATAATGGAGGTAGGTGATGTTGGCTGATCTCCAGGTTCTAGGCCTAATAATGGAGGTAGATGATGTTGGCTGATCTCCAGGCTCCAGGCCTAATAATGGAGGTAGGTGATGTTGGATGATCTCCAGGCTCTAGGCCTGATAATGGAGGTAGGTGATGTTGGCTGATCTCCAGGCTCTAGGCCTAATAATGGAGGTAGATGATGTTGGCTGATCTCCAGGCTCTAGGCCTAATAATGGAGGTAGGTGATGTTGGATGATCTCCAGGCTCTAGGCCTGATAATGGAGGTAGGTGATGTTGGCTGATCCCCAGGCTCTAGGCCTAGTAATGGAGATAGATGATGTTGGCTGATCGTCACTCTCTAGGCTGTGTGCGTGCATGTGTGTGTGAGTGTGTATGATTTATATTTTTAACGTATTTTAACGATTTTTCAGTCATATCGCAACAATGTCTGCAGTGAGACAGTTTACAGTGATGTCTAGCACTGGAGCATCATGCTGCAGACATGTAATATGATGTCCCACCCAGTCATATTATCCTGGCACAAGGCCGACCAGTACTAACACTAACCACTTAATGAAGAGCGCCAAGCGAGGCAGCTGTTGGTACCATTTTTTAAAGTCTTTGGTTTGACTCGGCTGGGGTTCGAACCCGCGACCTCCCGCATCCTAGGCGGACGCTCTAACCACTAGACTACTCTAGACTTTGTAGTGTTGGTTAAATGATGTTGGCTGATCGCCGCTTTCTAGGTCTTATAGTGGAAGTTGATGAGGTACAAAGTTTGTGTTTTCTTCACTCCCCTAACATAATCGCATTATTAATAGTTTCAGAAACATCTAAATACTGTTTG